GCAGCCTCGCCGCGGTCGTCCTCCTCATCCCCTGCTACAGACACTGCCACCGTCGACGCCGTGGAACTCGAACTGCCACATCTCCGGAACCCCGCCGCCCCCGCGGCAGCGGCAGCGGCGGCCGCCGCCGTTGGCTGCTTCATGAGCACCCGAGTGCCGTACTCCAGCTGTGATATGATGGTTTGCACGCACCTCCGTCCCTCTCCCTGATTGCATCGCTTCACAGCTCTCGCGAGGTGTACGTGCAGCCACAAAGTCCCATCTGGGTCGGGTCCGGCCCACCAGGTGACGTCATCCCAGCCCTGGGGGGGGGAGAGGGGGTAAAGACGAACCACGAACGAGTGAAGCTGCTGCCAAGGGGGAGAGGGGGTACGGTAACCACAATATTAGGCGAGCAGCCCGACAGGTGGTCAGAGGACCCAGGGGAGGAAAGGAAAAGGGGATCATATGATGACGATGATGATGGTGATGACGACGACGACGACGACAGTGATGAGAATGCAAAGAAGTCAAAGAAACAAACTGTCGACGTGCCAAACCCCCCATTAGCAACTAGCCCCAAACAGGCATATGAAACCCCCCTCACCGCCCACATCCCTCACTCCAAATACCCTGCCTGCAGCTCTCTGTACGACATGAAGGGGTACTCCGCCCTCCAGTTGACAGAACTGGTCACTCGGGCAGCAGTGACCGCCACTGCACGAGCGGCGTCGGCCGGTTTGTGGGCCTGATGGAGAACGTGGGGGGGTTGTGCGGTGAGGAGGGACACATGTATAGTAATGTAATTTTGCACAGGGGCGCACGGTCACGGAAAAGGCAGCGGGACGCGGGCTCCCCTCCACCACTACCCCCAAGCCACACCCAAGCAGTGGGAGTTACATGCGGCCGTTGCAAACGTCGAACCAAGAGGTACGGGGACAGGGAGGGGGAGGGGAGGGGAAATCATGTGCAAGATACTCAGAATGCGGGGACGGGGAGGGGGAAAGACGAACCACGAACGAGTGAAGCTGCTGCTGGGCGGGGGACGGGCGCCGCATTCCTAACTCCCCTCCCCCAATTCCCGCCCATGTCCCTCCATTACCCCTAGAGGCAGCGTTCCCACACCGGCCGGCCGGAAGAGCGATTCAAATTGCATCCCATTGCCTGCCCGCCCGCCCGCCTGTTCGTCTGTCCGTCCGTCTATTTGTCAGGGCTCACCGCCAGCAGTCCGCCGTACAGCAGGTACCGTGTCAACTCCAACCCATCCGGATCTAACCCCGGGGGCAGGGACTGCAAGCCCTGTTGAGCTAAGACCTGGGGGGTGTAAACGAGGGAGGGAGAGGGGTGCGCGGTTGGGGGTTGAGATAACGGCATACTCCAACCTCTCAACCGCATCTCCACCAAGCACCGGACATCCCTTCGCCGTACACGTCTTGTGGCCCCTCCGTGGCATACCCCCACTCGCTCGCTTGACGTTCAGGGCCGTGGGGTGTTTTCTTGCCCCGCCATTCACACACTCCCACACATACAGACACACAACACCTTGGCGGTGTGCGGTTCTCATTCTCTGAGCTCCCTCCCCTCTGGACATCAGGATTCGATTTTAGCTCCTTGCACGTGGTCGCCTCGCGGCCTCTCCACTCCTGAAGCCCTCAGCCCCACCCCCACCCCAACTCGTCGCCTGTCACCACTCACGTTGCGCAGGCAGCGCACCCAGGCCGCATACTCGGGCGCCACCTCGGGCACCTGCAGCAGACCCCACTCCGCCCGGGGAACAGGACGCGGCAGCGGCGGCGGCTGGTGACGGAAGGACGGCACCGGACCCGCGGCAGCGGCGGCTTCCGCCGCCAGCGGATCCGCAGCGACCGCTGCGGCGGCGGCTTCGCCGCCGCCACCCGTGTTACTCCCCGCCGCCGCAGTGGCGGCGTCCGGCAGCGGCAGCCCCACCACGCCGCCACCGCCAGGTCCTCGCGTCCGCTTGCCGATCGCTAGGAATTTGACAAGTCGTACGGTTTTGATGAGAGCGGCAGGCAGGAGGATGACGTGTGCGGCACGCAGCAGTACGTCACGTCGAGGTCCGCGGCCCAGTCGGTGTTCATTGAGGACCAGGATCAGAGCGGCAGTCTCAGCCGCGGCAGTTGGGCGTTTGGCCCAACGGCGCGCGGCGCCTAGGATAAGGAGCTAGAAGGGGGCGGGGGAAGGGGAGAAGTGGTTGAGGAGGAGAAGGGGCTGAAGAGGAAGGGGAGGAGGAGGGGATGGGATGAGTCATCCAAGGAAAGAAACAACGGATCTGCAGCTGCCAACGCTCAAAGGGAGGACGCGAGGGGGGAATGATATGTGAGAAACTCAGAAAGGGGGGGGGGGCCGAAACATTACCATCGGCGGCAGCGAAGTGGCAAACAATAAGGTTTCAGGGGAAGGCGAAGGACAAGTGACCCAAACGTGTACGATAAGGAGGGTAATGTGTGCGGTGGGTTTCCCGGGAGATGAGAGAAGAAAACTCGCTGAGCAGTTCAAGCATGGGGTTGGTAGGGTTGGAAAAAGGGACAGGGGATGAATAAGAGCGATGGTCAAACTGCACAAATAGGTTGGAGAGAATAGCGGAAACTTGATCAGCATTGCGTAGAATGTAATGTGGCGTGTGCGGATGTGCCACGGGCAACGACCAGGGATTTGGATGGCGGTGACGCACGTTATTTCACACTGTGACGTAGCTTCGTGACCATTTGCTTTTTCAGCAGGGAAGGTATATACACTCCTTGGAGGGTACCCTGCCCTTTGCAATGGAAAATAGCGGTACCCGCCCTGAAATCGACCGGGAGGTGTGCGCCCAATGTGTTTCCCCCCCAGAGCGACATTTATCTTATGAGTTTCATTAGCCGGTCGGTTAAGCTAAAAGGGGCCTCGCAAGCATCTCACTTGCACGCAAGCCGTGGACTAACTTCTCGACTATAAATGAAAAGGGCGGGCTGCGCTGAGAACAGTTGCACGATCCCTCTTAGCAGCTCATCCATGTGCCCAGAACATCCGTCCACATGGCCTATCGCCTGAAAGCCTATTTGGCAAACTTAGTGATAGTTCCGGGACGGGTTACGTAGGAAAAACAATGCTTACCTTTCCAATCAGCTTCCACATAGTCCCTTCCAGGATGTCCCCTTGACTTTCTCCACGCTGGCCGGCAGGCCAAACCTCAAGTTGCCCTGCTCGCTTCAGGCCATTCCGTGAACTTTATAAAAGAGCTTGACAAGTTAAGCTGCGAAGGTTTAACCCTCAGCACAGCGGTGCTCCAATCTCGCGCAACAATGACGGGCCCAACGGGACCGAAGCCCTGAAGTCTAGTGGATTTAGCCGCAAGCTCCTCACGCAGATATGCAGCTTCTTTGCAGATGTTTCCAATACAACGAAACAGTCCCTAGCTACCTCTGGAGATCCTGATACGTGGAAGGAAAGCCAACGTGCAACGTAAAAATCCACAGCTGTAGTACAAGAGGCCTTCAGCCCTGTCGGTGCCTTTGAGCTGAATCGAAAGCAATAACCATCCTTCATTTTTCCCATTTATCATCTTTCAAGAGTCGGCCGTTACTGTCCCATACTGGCGCGCGAAACCCCTCCTTGATGCATAGAATCGGTTCAGGTGCCGCAGCCCTGCGGCCCACGGCGTCATTTAAACAACAACAAGCAGTAGCCAAACCCTCTAGGATGGACCCTCATGAACCAATGTCGAGGGTGCAGCAACCACAGCCACAACTGCAACCCCAACCGAAACAGCGAACATCATCAAGCGCGCCTCGCGCACCCGTTCCGCTTGACCCAGTTGAAAAAGCTCGCCGTCAAATGGGTTATCGCAACAACTGGCACCGGAAGCCCGTGGACCAAGAGGCGCAGGTGCGCTGCCCCTGCTTCCCCTCAGACCCAGCCTCGTCGCCCTGGCGTTCTCATTCCCGCACCCCGCCCAACCACATCCTGCTCTGTCCTATCCTCCTATCGCGCGCAGCTTCTACATGTTTCCCTCCCCATCCTTTTCCCTGCTCTTGTTCAGCAGTCCCAGGCCTCCCCCCATTGCTCTGCCTGTACCCTTTCCCCACAGCGTCTTCCTGCCCCTTCCCGCTTTCCTGCAGGCGGGATATGCGACTTCTCAAAGCGTTACCACTCTTCGTCTCCCCATGATATTCATCCCTCCCCCGTCCCCCCTTCCCTTGGCATTAGCTCCACTCGTTCGTGGTTCGTCTTCCCC